CTTTGGGAACTGGTCAGAAGCTCCCTGTTTTTGTTCCCCTTCACTAATCTTACCTCCCTATTTTTTGCCCTTGGTTTGTACCCGACTCTTTTGTCTCCTTGTTCCTGGTACCTGCCTTTTGTGATTGATAAGAAAGTTGCTGATGCATTCTGAAGCGCTTCTGGCCACAATGTATGGTTGGCTAAGATATGCATAGATATTAAAAGTTTCTAGAAAGGGGGGTAAGTGGCTTGGGTGAAGAGCTTATGACGCGACGGAACTATCTTTATAAGCCTACCTGTCACTAGAATCGGGGCTGCTTCTCTTTGGAGACGGGCCGCTCTCTATTGTTGTGTGCACTCTTCAATAAAGAGCTTGTGATTGGACTTTGCTGGTGTTGCCTGTCTCTTTGCGGTCAGACAACGAACCGAGTCATCTGGGCTAGAGTCCCTGACATCGGTAACTGGAAAAACTTAAAAAACGATCATCTAGCAGCACCTTAAAAAGACTAACAAAACATGTAGACGGTATCATGAGCTTTTGTGGGTACAACCCACTTCTTCAGATGACTGGAGTATTAAAAGCCCAGATCCAAGAATAAATAAGGGAAGGCGGAGGGACAGGAAGGCGGAGGGAAAAAGGGGAAAAAAAGAGAAAATAAAGTAGTGAATTAGATCAAGTTACAAGAGGCTAATTGCTCTTATCAGCCTCGTGTAACTTGAACAATCTAATTCACTACTTTTTTTTATTTATTTTTCTTTCTCCTCCTCCTTTTCCTCCACCCTCCCTCTCACCGCCCCCCCACACACACACCTTCCCTTTTTTATTCTTGGATCTGGACTTTTAATACTCCAGCCATCTGAAGAAGTGGGTTGAACCCACGAAAGCTCAGATGCCAGCTACATGTTTTGTTAGTCTTTTTAAGGTGCTGCTAGACTATTCGTTGTTTTAGGAGAGTAAGTTTCCTTTTTTTCTGCAGCACAGTAGTAAAGGGAGGAAAAGGGCCCAAATAAAGGAGCATTTGAAAACTTGGAGTTGGGGAGGAGAGCTGCCGCCAAGGCATTTACATTTTGGCTTTGGCCTACGTAAGACATGAAGACCCTGTGTAAAGACACAATGGCCATTTCAAACCTAAGCTCTACATGCTCTAGAAGAGCTTGGCTCTAGAACCAAGCTCTGGGGCCTGAGCCACAAGCTCGCATGTGCAAACGCTCCATGATGCAGGTTGCTAAGGCTACGGGGTGATGGAGCAGGCCTGGGCCTTGGCAGCTGCAGAGCTTGCTCCACCAGCTGGAGGACTTGCTGAGGAGGGGATGGGTCAGGCTGAGGCAGCAAGGAGAGGCTGTCAGCGGATAGGAAGCCAGTCAATAGCTTCTGGGAGAGAGGAATCCCATGGAGGCCCTGGATTGTGGGTGTGTCCAGACCATGGGCCCACGGGTGTGATTCCTTTTCTGGGGCGACATGTAGGGGGGCATGAGGGTCATGTGCCCCAAAGCTATGGGTGCGAGAGACAAGGAGCTGGTCAGCACTTGAGGCAGAGCAGCAGGGGGCCTGTTCCTGGAGCAGGGCTCTGCCCTCACCCCCGGACTCAATGGCAGTAGGGGGAAGTGGAGCAAAGTGGACCTAGCTCGCTCTGCTCCTCCAGTTGTCCATCAGAGAGGGACGAGACGGCCCCCGCGCTCGCTCTTGGGAAGAGGCAAAGTGGCTGGAGGAGCAC